ACAACCTGATGGCACATAATAATACCATTGCAATTAAAGGTATAGAAAACAATCCATGTAGAAACCATTCTTTACTTTATTTTCATTGTACGTACATACACATTATACACATACAAGGAAATTCACATAACACCCAAAGACCAGGCCCAACACACATAACAATCCCCAAACACACCTCCACCCCCCACCCACCCCAAAAATCAACAGACCAAGTAGAGCAGTCCAGCAGTCCAATGGTGGCCCTTTAGTTCATTGTTGAGTACTATTATAGCTCTGGGATAAAAGCTATTCAGAAGATTTGTGGTCCTAGTTTTAATTGTTCTGTATCTTCTGCCAGAAGGCAACAGTCTAAAAAGATTGTAAGCAGGATGGGAAGAGTCTCTGAGAATGTTATGCAACTTCCTCAAACAGTGAGATGCGAAGATGACATCCAGGGTTGATANCCCATTGATTTTGCTTGTCAGAAGGTCGCAAAAGGTGATCACTGAATCTTGGGACACAGCAACAGTCATAAATACGAGCCGGTTGCTAACCATCTGAATTTTGATCACATGTTCATGGGATGCTGCAAAGGTCATAACTTTGAAAAAGGGTCATATTTTACTTTTTCCAGTGCCATTGCAATTTTGAATGGTCACTAAATGAACTGTTCTAAGTTGAGGACTATCTGTACTCTAACTCCATTAGTTAAGTAAACATGCTGCTGTTGATTGGGGAAGGGATTGTCGTGTGTGTGGACATAGCTGTTTCCTTATAGGAAGAGCAGTAGCTTAAAAGAGAAGTGGTTCGAGAGAAAAGTATTGCAGGAAGCCGATAGAGTACGGGTGTCAAACTCGCGGTGTCCAGTTTTTCTCCTTGCAGAGCTGGGATGAACGTGGCCTGAACGGGCCTGCAGGCCTACATCCGGCCTGCGGGCCTCCAGTTTGACATCCCTACGATAGAGGCAAAGAATACACGATCAGCTTCTGGAGTAGTGTGAACCTCATTAATGACCATAGTAACAGTATCATAGAACTGAAACGAATCATCTTCAAAGAGACCTCGGAGAAGAACCTGCTTGAAATCTAAATCCTGCCCAACTGCACATTCATGACATCGGCTGGTAGTTGGTTTCCCATTGATTAATGACAAATACCCCCCACCCCATATTCCTGAAAGTAACCTGCATTATCTTCTGGGGAAGCGGCAATGCTAGCAGCCATGTTAGAAAGGCATGATTAAAAATACTGCTTTATATCAATATCTTTCCACCTTCTCAATGCCCGACAGTTGCATTGATGTATTTGTGCAGAGGCTTTTTTAGAAGTAGCATGAAAGTGTTCTGTCTTTACCTTTTTCTAAAATATTTTTTGAAAAGTCTCCCACCTTTATATTCCCTGGCAGTTTCCCATCCAAACCCATTCTGCTTACCGCATAAGACGCATCTTTTTCCCTCAAAAAAGAGGGTGTAAATCTGGGTGAGTCTTATACATTGAATACAGCATTTTTGGCCTCCCGAAACCTCACCCCCTTTGCAAAAATGGATGTGCAGAGGGTTTGGGAGGCTTGCAAAGTGTTCCTGGGCGCCGGGGAGGGCAAAAATGAGCAAAAAATGGGCATTTTTGCTCATTCCCCCTGCTCCCAGGATCACTCTACAAGGCTCCAAAGCCTTTGCAAGTTCCTCCCCTTTTTTCTGCAAAAAACGTGGCGTGCAGACAGTTTGAGAGGCCTGCAGAATGCAAAAAAAACCTTTACCTTTTCAAAATCATGGTACGCCTTATACTCCGGTGCCTCTTATAGTCCCCAAAATATGGTAATTTCCAAATTTCCAAGTCTAATCAAGTTCAGACAAGATTGGCCAATATTAACACCCCTTGAGTTCTGTTCTCACTTCATCAAGTCCTATTAAATTCAGGGACTCATGTTTTTTTCAGTGTAAACATAGCTCTGAAGTCCTAATTATACAGCCTGATCATGTATACATTTGCTTAGAATTAAGCCTCTCTGGGATTAATGGAGAACTATAACACAAAGTATCGATACGGATTTAATGGCAAATATTCAGTCAATCAATAAAACGGTACTAGCAAAAATGGAACGGTAGCTTCCCTCAAATGTACTTAGGCTACATTATGGACCAGCTATTGCTGTCTGCTGGGCTTTGTCATTGCCTACTGAAAACTCTGGATGAAGACTGAAATAGATTTAGAGTCTATGGACTCTGTGTTTGAAGGGTCGTAGGAATGCTGTCAGTCCTGGAATTTTTCTAACTGTTCAGCTTCCCTTTGGAATTGCAGCCTTAGTGTTTTGTCTTATCCACTGCAGCAAAAATGTATACTGTCTCAAAGAAAAAGTACAGTAATTTGGTTTCTATTCCACCTTTCATTCAAGTGTTTTGAAAGTTGTGGAGATGATGTTCTCTCCCCCCTATTTTTCCATGTAGCTACAACCTTGTGAGATTATGAAGAGAGAGTGATGGATCCAAAGTCACTCCAGTGATCATGTAAGAGTGAATTCATCTGTTTTTGATAGGAATGCTCTGCTTAGTATTAGAAGGGTTGCGAATGGGATGGGATGGAAATAGGAATAGGAGAACAGAATAGAATTAGAATAGAATAGAGTAGAATAGAATTCTTTATTGGCCAAGTATGATTGGACACACAAGGAATTTGTCTCCAGTGTATAAGCTCTCAGTGAAGAGGTGGATTACTCCCAGTTCAGCCCAGTTTGGCTGACTCAGTAGTGGAATTCAGGCCTGGGTCACAAGGCTGCACCCCCCCGAACTGGTTCCTTTGCTGCCGCTCGGCTGCCGCCATTTTGGTTTTTAGTGATTGCGCATGCACAGTTCACTGTAAATTGTTCTGGGCATGCATGCAGAACAATTTACATTGAACAGCGCACAGTGCACGTCTTGCGCACGTGCAAGTGGGTTGCAAACTGGTAGTAAAACCGGCAGCAACCCACCACTGTGTCAGTGTACATATAAACAACAAAGTGATAGGTCCTATATCATAGATCGTAGTTACAATCATTAATCATAATATACAACAAGTGATAAAACATAGATACCAACAAGAGAAGGGACAGTAGGAAAGATTAGAATAATATCAATGCAGCCTACTACATAGATAAATATATTTAGGCCTAGGACAGTGCTGTGAGAATTATGTATTCAGCAGAGTGATGGCACTAGTGGTGGGACTATCTTTGAATCTAATTGTTTTGGTATGCAATACTTTATAGTGGCATCCAGAGGGGAGAAGTTGAAACAGTTTATGTCCAGGATGTGAGGGGTCTGTAGATATTTTCTCAGCCCTCTTTCTGGTTCATGCAGCACAAGTTGCAGTTGTTTTTTTGGCAGTCCTAACTATCCATTGAAGTCTATACGTGTTCTGTTTGGTTGCTGGCCAAACCAGACAGTTATTGAGATACAAATGACAGTAATTCCTCTAAATATCAAAAAATTAGATGTCAACTCTACAGGTGCACTATGACCTCTGGATGTGTTCTTTCCACATGAACATATACTGAGTTCTTTGGAATAACATTATGCTATGTGTGTGCCTATATGTTTTAGAACTGTCCTAAAATGAAATGCAAACAGTTCAACTGACCGAGGCAGATATTGCAATCTATTAGGCTCTGTACAAACAGATTTTGCAAGGCACTTTCTACTTTGGCTATTTCTAGGAAAGACTTTGGTCAGATATGGTATGAAGCAAGTAGAAGGAGATGGACTTTATTTTGAGGAAGACCAACTCTTGTTTTTTAAAATAAAGTTCTTATACCTGGCTTTTGTTTATAACAAGACATTTCTCCTGACGTTCTATTTTGTATATTTACCGTATTTTTCAGAGTATGAGACACACCTTTCCCCCCCAAAAGAGGGTGAAAATCTGGGTGCGCCTTATACACTGAATATAGCATGTTTGGCCTCCTGAAACCCTGCCCTGCACATCCACTTTTTTGCAAAGTGCTCCTGGGAGCCGGAGAGGGCACAAATGAGCCAAAAATGGGCCCCTTTTCAAAAAAAGTGGGGCTGTTTTTGCCCTCCTCAAGTCTCCAGGAGCACTTACAGGCCTCCTACATCCTCTGCACGCCTCGTTTTTTGCCTCTCAAACTCCCCACATGTTGCATTTTTGCCCTCTCCAGCCCCCAGGAGCACTTTGCAGGCCTCTCAAACTCTCTGCAGGCCCCTTTTTCACAAAAAATGGGGCATGCAGAGGGTTTGGGAGGCCTACAGAGTGTTCCTGGGTGCTGGGGAGGGCAAAACCTCTTTTTTTTAAAAATTACCTCCTCAAAATCTTGATGCGTCTTATACTCTGGTGCGCCTTATAGTCTGAAAAATACGGTATATATTTTTATTGCAGCCAAAGATGTGGGAAAAGAGAATAAGCATCATTAAGATGATGATGGGGTCATGGGAAAACTTCAAAACATATTATTAGTGAGGCAGATTTAGAGCTGCTAATTTTTGTCTCAACTCCATATTTCTTAATACAGGAATACTTGATTTTTTACTAAGAGAAACAGGATACAGTAACTAGTTTTACTAACAAAGGCTGTTCTCCTATACAAAATTAGTACTGGCTCTAGAGGTTACCGGTAGTCTGGTAGACAAAAAATGTTTTGTTTAATATTGTGTGTTACTGTATTATAGAACTGTTAATTTTTTATTTTGCTTCCCATTTTTTTAAGCATAAAAGACAATTCATCTTTCAGATGAGTACCAGCTGGGGGAGTTTTAAATTGAGCAAAAAACGGGGCGTTTTTTGCTCATTTCTGCCCTCCCCAGTCCCCAGGAGCTCTCTAAAAGCTTCCTAGAGGCTCTGCACAACCATTTTGGTGAAGGGGTTTCAGGAGGCAAAAAATGCTGTATTCAGTGTGCAAGACGCACCCAGCTTTTCAGCCTCTTTTTTGAGGGAAAATGGTGCGTCTTATACTTCGAAAAATACGGTATTTATATATTTACAGGTTGACTTTTCCTACAATTATGCAATTAATTTTTGTATTGTTTTTAGCATTGCTGCACTGAAGAGCTCTGATAAAGAAGATACAGAAGTGATACCTGAAGATACCAACTTAATAACTCTTAAGTATATTGAATTATATTTTCAGTTGCAATTCTGATTAGTTGGAAGTTTGTTCTAATCCACAAGTAATTTTAAGAATAGTTTATGAACTAAGGCAATGAGCAGATGGATACAGCGTTCCAAACCAAAGTAGACAAACTATGATATGTTAGTTTGTCTGATTGCATACTACTAGTATAGACTTTAGGTCATTATTCAGTACTAAATTTAATTTAAATTTAAACAAATTGTCATAATTGTATTTCACTATACGCTAACATGCAAAGAGATGTTGTGTTTATCTCTGTAAGGGTAACCTTGGGTAACCTCCTCTTTACAGACTCTTTGGATAAAGCCAAATATTCTGTTTACAACTCTTCCCAATAATTTTATGACCACATATTTGATTCCAATAATGCTTCCATTATGCTGGATCGTTTACTGTATTATTGAGGTTTTTTTTTGCTAGCACAAAGCTTGCCTACATCTGTATTGTATTCTCGCTATCAGATTAAATCTGTTTCCTAAACAGTTTGTAATTTATTATGTGTTTATTAAGCTGAATCAGCAAGGCCCTGGACACCTTTGGAATGTTGAATGCATGTCATTGGTGCTCTTGCAAACTGCCTTGGCCAATTATCAAATGCCTATTGAGGTACAGGGGGCAAAAGAGACATAGATATGGATGTTCTTGGCTATACCCTTCCTTTAGAAAAGCTTATGTCCTCAAGAGTGGTCTTCACTTACAGGCTTTGGGGAAATAGCTAATAGTATTTAAACACATACATGATCTATATTGATTAAGTAGCTATGAGAAAATGGGTACTATTGTAGTTTGTTATTGCTTACAGTTTTATTGTTTTTATTACATTGTTTTTAAATTGTGATTTGGTATTTTTGTACTGCCTAAAGCCTCTAGAGCAGAGGTGTCCAACCTTAGCAACTTTAAGCAACCGTGGACTTCAGTTTCCAGAATCCCCCAGCTAGCCAGCTCCCATGAATTCTGGGAATTGAAGTCCACAAATCTTAAAGTTCCCAAGGTTGAAATCCCTGCTGTAGAACGAAGCAGTATATCAGTCTTACAAAGAAATGTCTAGTTAACAGCTGCACAGTTGCTCTGCATTGTTTGGTGCAGGGAAATGGGTGTTTCAGAAGAGAAGAGAGAAATAAAAACGTAACTATAGAGAAGAGATGTAACATAAATGATGTCCGCTTGCCTATTGATTTTTTTCTTCTAATTTTTCTTCTAATTTTCTATAAAGTTCCCAATCGACCTTATCTGAGAGGCTGAGGCATTTGGTCCTATCAAGTTAAACCACTTATTTTGATTATTAGTTGTTCTGAGGAATGAGCTTATCTATATCAAATACCAAAATAGCATTAAAAGTGATTACTGCTCTTTCACTGTGATTAGCCTTCTTCAAATGATGTATAGGTAGTCCTTGACTTATAATGGTTCATTTAGGGACTGTGCAAAGTTACAACAGCCCTGAAAAAAGTGACTTATAACCATTTTCCACACTTACTACCGTTGCAGTATCCCTGTAGTCACATGATCAAAATTCAGACCCTTGGCATATTTATGATGGTTGCAGGGTCGCTGGTCACATGATCAACTTTTGTAATCTTCTGAGAAGCAAAGTCAATGAGGAAGCCAGATTCACTTAACAACTGATTCACTTAATAACTGTGGCACGAAAGATCTTAATGTGAGACAAAATTCACTTAACAAATGTTTCACTTGACCACAAAAATTTTGAGCTCAATTGTGGTCATAAGTCAAGGACTACCCGTATTTTCAATCATCTTGATCAGGGAGAAGTGATGCAGAGTACAGATATGCCTCCCTGGGCCCCAGGAAATTCCCCTCTTCCCCCAAAGTGTCAACAATCTTTAATAATCAGATTGCAAGCCACTATACTGAAAAATAAAATATCAGCTTTTAACATTATGAATGTTTGCTAATTAAAGTCAAAGTACATTAGTTTTGGTCATTGACCAGCTTTTTATTTATTAATCACTGACAAGCCCAGGGACAAAGTTAAGGGGGAGAAAAAAGGGCAAAGTTGTGCATCAGGGGTCAGAAGAAATGATTGGGAATCGTTTTTTGATTGGACTTTCTGGTAAATGGATTTTGTCTGAACATGTCTGCGTGTTCTCAGAATCCCAGATGACTGATCAAAATGGACTACTCCTGTATTAAACACTTTGCAGAGCTGCCCAGGATCATCCCACGTATCCATCCAGAAAACACTTACCTGTGAAAGCATTCTGTGTAATTGGTTCTCACAGGGTGTAGTCAAAAAGCTCAAGATGGTAGTTAATAGTAGTGTGGTGGTGTGATTGGATCTCCACCTATTTTTTTAAATCCCAGATTAAAAAACAGGCTGAGCTCTATTTGCATCATCCTGAACATGATGTTGACTTGTTTTGATCCTATTCTGAAGATAGCTCATATCGCATTGGAATAAAAAGTTGTTGAGTTCTAATGTGGTGCTTAATTCTATTTTTATACGTTTGATTTAAAAGAGTATTAAACCCTACATTTAGATTTAGGGACTTATCCTTCACCTTCTTTCCTTTTCTAAAAAAAGATTAAATCATGGCAACTGAACCAAAGTTTATTAAAACTGAGATGTTTACTTGGGTGAGTAATGAAACATCCCAGTTTTAATGAACTTTGGTCCAGTTGCCATGATTTAACCTTTTTTAAAGATACTTTTGAGCCTGAGTGATTGAGTCTTCATTTACCCCTTCTTTCTTTCTTCTCATTTGTAGAATTCGGCAGAAAGCTCTGGAAAGACGAGAAGAAACCATCCTTGTTGATCGTGCATGTAGACAAGAAACATTTGTTCATGAGATGGTAAGCCTTCCTTTCTCATTTGCTGCCCTTCCTGTATCAATAGAATACAATAAAATAGCAGAGTTGGAAGGGACCTTGGAGGTCTTCTAGTCCAACCCCCTGCCTAGGCAGGAAACCCTATACCGTTCCAGACAAATGGCTATCCAACATCTTCTTAAAGACTTCCAGTGTTGGGGCATTCACAACTTCTGGAGGCAACTTCTGTTCCACTGATTAATTGTTCTAACTGTCAGGAAGTTTCTCCTTAGTTCTAAGTTGCTTCTCTCCTTGATTAGAATAGAATAGAATAGAATAGAATAGAATAGAATAGAATAGAATAGAATAGAATAGAA